TGATGATTTCTTTCTGGCCCAAATCTCTCTTATGTTCACACTTGGCACACTTGGTTTGGTTAGATTAAAACAATCTCTTTTGTGATTGCTCTGTTAGTGCGGTTCGTTTAAATAAGTGTGATGTCCAGTGTCTATTTGTTTTCCAGAAGTTATGAGCAATGAATAAATGTCCTTGTACTCGTTTAAACTATAGTTGTGCGGATTGTGCAATCCCACGGATTGTTGTCTATTAGAGCTGTGAACTTTGAATAAATCTGTTGAATGGCTCGTTACTTGAATGAAATTCGCAAGAGGAACTTTGTAGTTTTTGTTTTCATCTGAGCACTGAAAATGGTTTTGTGTGCCTTACTGGTGGATTTACAGTCTCTTGTTTCCTTTGGTTTGCTTATACAGTTCTGTTTTACCAGATTATGAGTAGGGCTGTCGCGATTCATCGATTTTATTAGACTATTCGATTTTTTAAAATCTTTGACTTCATTTTGCTCGCGTCGACTAAACATTAGATCTATTGTTTATAATACATTATGTATTTTAACAGTTTTGTTCAATAAAACCATATGATTTCTTGCTTTTGATACTTTATTTGAACTAATTATTATTGCCTCATTGCTATTATATATGTACTTTAAATTATTTTAAACGCTACTGTTCACTTACATCTATTTTTATTACCACAAAAAAATTAATTATAATTATAGGGCACTATGAAATCCATTTTATTTCCAAATTAATTTTTTTCCATTTTAATTTTTCTATACTCTATCATTTTTATATACGTTTTAATGGTTAAATAAAATTTTATTAATCAAAAAGCCTGTCTGGACACTTGCTTCTTGCACTTTATGTTGCACTTTAATTTTTTACTTTTGAATTTAATTTGGTTTAATGAAATATAGTTGAATAAAATAAGTAAAATTGTAGTTTTTTTGTGTGGGAAATTAATCGTTTAGATTAATTGATAAATTAGTCGATAGATTAATCGAAATAAAAATAGTCGTTAGTGGCAGCCCTAATTATAAGCTGTCATTCATATTTTGCTAATACTCAAAGTATCATATATATGCTAAGTCTTTGGTAAATTTAGTCCCATATAATGAATGTTAGCTTGAGGTGTCAAGAGACACCTCGAAGGTTCTGTCGTCAAGTTCTTCATTTCAAGTCCATTTTGAGCTGGCTGTGATCACACCTACCCAAAGCAATTTCAGGAGGTGTTTTGTTAGTTCATTAGCACTGGAGCTGTAAACAGCATTTTAGAAGTTTGTCAAGTTCAATATGGCTTGACACAAGTTGAACTTCATCTCATAATAGAATAAGAATGGTATGTTGTTTAAGTTTAGCCTTAAGTAACTCCCAGAGAATTTAGACTACTTTAAGCTAATGCTTTAGCTATGAATCAGCTTTGTTTAACTCAATTTATCAGATGTTTTAAACTGATTTCCCTTCAAAATCAGATTTTGAACCTTGACTTTTAAACTTCCTTGATACAGTTTATACATTTTGTGCATCAAAGATGTAGCTCATTGGTTAGCGCATATGCTCAGACACCCTATTACATTTCTTCTGTACAAATAGAATTAAAAAGCAGATTTTTGCTCTTTATTAGATGTGTGGTTGACCGTGGCTAGCAGAGTAGAGAAGAAATCCTGCAGCATGTTTGTGCTCCAGCTTGAACTGAAGCCAAACCTATCATTGGTGAACAAGGTCTAGGAAAAATGCTCTTTTAAGGAGAACCAAAATGTTGCCTAAACAGCTTCAGGATACCACATTGACGGCTGGATCCAGAAATAACAGGAACTAACTTGGTCATGAGGCTTGTTGGTGTGGATGTGCTATTTCAGAGGTGAAAATGGAAAATTGGTTTGTTTGGGACATTGCAGCCATTATGTTTTTCCGGTAACACTTTACAATAAGGTTCATTAGTTAACTACATTGGTTAACATGAACTAATAATGAACTGCACTTATACAGCGTTTATTAATCTTTGTTAATGTTAATTTCAACATATACTAATATATTATTAAAATCTTGTTAACATTAGTTAATGCACTGTGAACTAACATGAACTAACAATGAACATCTGTATTTTTATTAACTAACGTGAGCGTAGATTAGTAAATACAGTAACAAATGTATTGCTCATGGTTAGTTCATGTTAGTTAATACATTAACTAATGTTTAACTAATGAACCTTATTGTAAAGTGTTACCGTTTTTCCTAACTTTGTGCTTCCAACGTTTTTCCATGTACGTTACAACAACAAATTTACCAAAAATGCTTGCTTGCTGGTGGAAAATCCAGCTGGTAATGAATTTATAGCTGGACATTAGCAAGTCCAAGCTAGCCATTAGTGCTGATAACTTGTAGAAAATCTTTGACTAGCAGCAAACCAGCCTACAGTTGGTTATGCCATCTTAGCTGGTCTACCAGCTTGGAAACCAGGTACCAGGTTCCAAAAAAAGCTGTTATTCACTCATAATCTTCCCCTCTAGGAAGTTAACTGGTAATCATTGCAACTGTATTATTGAGTCAGTGAGACAAGAACTGATTGAGTCTAATTTGTGAACAGATCATTCAGGGAGGTTTCAAATGATTCATTAAAGATCTGACTCAAACAAATTCTTTGTTCACAATCACAAACTAATATCCTTAGAGCCTAAGCAGATAAATATCAAATTTTCATTTTTGGGTGAACTATCCCTTTAAGATTTTTCCCTGCAATTAATAATTAATTGTAGTGACTAGATCAGAGTCGGTAAGTCAGAGACTGATTCATTCTGATTTGTGAATGAAACTTTCTGTTTTTTTAAACCATTGAAATTAGTCATTGAAGATCTGACTCAAAATAATTATTTGTTTACAATCACAAACTAATGTGTTTTGGACAGATGTTAAGGTTTTCCCCTCCAGTTAACTGCTAATCATTGCAAACGGATTATTGACTCAGTAAGTCAGGAACTAATTCATTCTGATTTGTGAACAAAGTGTTCAAATTTTTTGAACCATTTCAATGATTCATTGAAGGTCTGATTCTTGACAAACCAAATTATTTGATCACAATCACAAACTAAGTTAGGGCAGATGTTTTGATGTTCCCCTCCACTCCACTAATGATCGACTGGATCATTAAGTCACTAAGAACTGATTCATTTTGGTTTGTGAATAAATCGTTCAGATTTTCTGAATTATTTCAAATGATTCTTAGAAGATCTGACGCAAAAGAATGATTTGTTCACAATCACAAACTAATGTGGTCAAGATAGATAAGGGGTCTCCAACCTTATGTCATTTGAGAGCTACTTTTTAAAAATGAAAGTGGCTGTGAGCTACCCATGTTTTATGATGCTTGAATTTCTTTAATAGCTCATCAATCCAAACTTTTATACATGGTATTATTAAAATGTGATGGAAATGTTCAAAAATACTGATACACACACACTGAAATAATTTCACTATGTTTTATGACGAAACCAACAAATAAAATTAGCAACACTATGCACCTTTTAATTGCATAAACTTTTTAATAAAAACATAAAAAATTATGGCATGTGTGTACAACATGTACAACATTTTATAAAATTATAATATGTATAAAATGATAAACCTCACATTTCAGCCTTTAAATCTTTTTATATAATATAATATATAATAATATAATATAATCTGAATGATATTTTATCTGCTCCATAAACAGTTCTACGTTAGCTAATATGCATTCTTAAAATCTCAGCACTTCAGATAACAAGGGAGGCTATTTTCCATCGACAAGTTAAGATTTACAACAAATATTTAGGTCAAATTTTCACATTGGTTTCAACAAAAACAGCAGGTAGGCTGAATGAAAATGTAAATCCACTGTCTGACAGCAGGTGGCACTTAAGTAAAAGCAGAAATAGAGCTGTTTCCCGGTAACCTCTGTTAACAAAGCAGCGCTGCACTTATAAACACTACTTTATTACACATTACACGGTGGGAAGATAAAAAACAAATGCCTTATGTCATGTTTTTTGTGTTGCACCTGTTTGAGACTCTTACTAACTTTGCATAATGCTGAGCAGTAATATCAATCAAATACGGGTTTAATGATAATTAAAATATGAAATGGGATAATTAAAATAACCTCACGGCCGGTATGTCAAAACATAATTAATTTGCATTGGAGGGGGTGGGACACCTGTCTATATTAGCTCACTCTGATTGGATGAAAAATACGTCTTGGCGAGCTACCTCCAATCAAGCTACTGGTATCTCGTGAGAGAGTGTTGGAGTAAAGGAAAAGAGCAACTGGCACATTTCTCAGAATGTCTTCTTTCTGTTCAACCAACAAAAGTCATACAAGTTTAGAAATGACATGAGGGTGAGTAAACAGAATGTGAATTTTTGGGTTGAAGCTGTTTTTAGCTGGATTTTCCAGCAGGCCCGTCATCTTAGTTTTGCTGTTGTTTTCTCACTGCATGGCTATGAGCTGATCTGTCTAGCGGCCAGTGCCCTATTTAGAGCAGCATGTGTCTGTTGATGCCACATGCATATGCAGTCTCAGGGAAAACTTGTTGACCTTGATTGAGATTCCATGGAAACCGAGGAACACGGCTGAATGGGAGCATGTGTGGATGCATCTGGGACGACTGTGGGTTGAGAAGCACAGCTCAAGGGAATCCAGCCATCATCTTCACATGGTGTATTTTTATCAAACCATCTTTGTCAACAAATGTCCCAGTCACTGTTGACAGCTGCTGCTGATGCTTGAGGGGTGGCGAGGGAATATAAGTGGAGGCTGAATAATGAAGTCGGCTGATGCTATCGGACCCGTTGACTCTGGAAGTTTGGTTATCATTTCAGATGAATATGTCTTAAGTAATCATAGGCTTTGTTCATATTTCCAAATCTGATTTGGTTTCAAATCTTTAGGGCTGACTGTTGGTGCTTTCATTTTGCAAATTATATTATCTGATACTTTTATTCAGATATTGTTGTGAATATTCACTGTTCTTTTTCTTTCCTAGATTCTACATCGAAAAAGGCTTTCATAACAGAGGTACGTTCCTTTAACACATATCAAGAATCTCTATTGCTAGACTGCAAGCGAACCTGTTTATGCAGGGATTGCAGTTTGGTGGTGTCTCATATTTTCACTCTTTACACCAGATGCCTTCATCGTCAGGCCAGCCGGCCCATGGGAAGAAGATCGGACACAGAGGTGTGGATGCTTCTGGAGAAACCACATATAAGAAGGTGCATTGCGCCTATTCAGTTTCAGCAACTTTTTCTAGATTTGATTCCATTCCGATTATTTTAGTTACTTCTAAGGATGCACACAATTCTGGAACCATATCAGCCAATATTCTACTTCTAATATTTTTTTTGTGTAATTTTTTTATGTTTTATATTGGTAGATATTGAATATTTAATTGTACATGCTCATTTTCTCTCTTTTTACATTTAGATTGCCTTTGCCATAATCTAACATTAACCTGAAATTAATCAGATTCTAGATTCAATATTGATTCCAGTTAGATTATTTTAGTTACTTCTAGGGATGGACAATATATCGGTACCATATCAGCAGATATTTTTTTTTATTTGAAAAAATCTAAAATATTTGCATTTTTATTTTTTATTTTATTTTTTATATCGGTTGATATTGTATATTTAATTGTACATGCCAGTTTCCTCTCTTTTTACATTTGGATTTTACATTACAAAATAGTGTTGAATTGTAATATTGACCATTCATCAGTTATCGGGCATAATATATAGAAAATAACTGTATATACAATAATAATAATAATATACAAGTTATTTATTGGTTTATCTGTATCGACCAGAATTGTAATATTGCTAATAAGCTCAGCAGAAACGTGGCACTAGGTGACATCAAAACAGAAAATGCAGAAGATAAATCTCTGGGTTTAGGGTTCATACTTATGTGACTCACATCATCCATATCAATGTGACACATCCTCCATATTCTCTTTAGACCACATCTTCAGCACTCAAGGGGGCCATTCAGCTAGGGATTGGCTACACGGTTGGCAACTTGAGTTCCAAGCCTGAGCGGGACGTCCTCATGCAGGATTTCTATGTGGTGGAGAGCATTTTCTTCCCCAGGTGCGCTATCTGTCTGAGGTTGAGGGTGGATGTGGAATTTCACATGCAATAAATGATCTTTTCTTTGTTCTTCCAGTGAAGGGAGCAACTTGACACCAGCCCATCATTTCCCAGACTTCCGTTTCAAAACCTATGCTCCTGTCGCCTTCCGTTATTTCAGAGAGCTCTTCGGGATACGGCCGGATGACTATTTGGTGAGAAATATAAGCTAAAGGCTGGATTTTATAATAAATGCTCGTATTTATTCAGGACTCGCGTAATTCATTGGCATTGTTCATGTTTGTGTTCATCTTTAGTATTCGCTCTGTAACGAACCACTGATCGAGTTGTCCAATCCGGGAGCCAGTGGCTCAGTCTTCTACGTCACCAAGGACGATGAGTTCATCATTAAGACAGTCATGCACAAGGAGGCGGAGTTTTTGCAGAAGCTTCTTCCTGGATATTACATGGTGAGTTGCTGTACTTTGACTGATGCACTTCAAATTAGTGGACAACTATTATAGGTTTTCAGTGTCCAATGCCTATATCGGACATTGAGCTGGGTGTATATATTATGCAACACTTATATATTGCATGATATAGTAATGATATGTAGCCTATATAAAAGGGAAATGCTTATTTTAGACAATATTAAATAAATTTTACAACTGACACAATGGTAATAAACTAATATTTATGGTCAAATATCAGCCGATTATCTGCCAGGCGAGTATTTATCGACTTTTGACATTTTTCAGCTACAAAAATTTCACTTTAAATATACAGTTTATGTTATTTTGTTACTTTTTGAGAAATTGTATATTGGACCATATCGTTTTTTGACTGATATTAGAATTTATCAGGCAACATTTTAAGCAAATATTTAGTGTTTTATTTTTTATTAATTCAGACAATAAATTATCGTCTGTTGGCCAGAACATTAAAATAATTCATGGACAAAATTGTATTATTGTTGCATCCTTATTTGAAACTAATGAGTAGTTTTAACATCCAATACTGATCGAGAGAGCAGGGTAATAAATGCTGCATGATATAATAGTTTAATTATATAAAAAAAATATGTAGCATAGATAAAATTGCTGAAACACTTATTATACATTATATTTAATGCATTTCAGAACTGACACTGTCACGAATTCGGTCCATGGACTTCCGTTTATTCACCACCAGAGGTCACCCTTTCCATTACATTAACTCTCGCACAACTCAAACTGTTGCATAGCACCCCGGACTACATTTCCCATCATTCATTGCACGGTTTGCACACTGCACTGATTGCACTCATTGCACACAGCTGTTTCCTATCATCTCACTCACTATATAACACCCACTCATACTGCCATTCTCTGCTGAGTATTGTTTAGCCCGTACCCCATTCCTAGTCTCGGTGCTTAGCCAGTTAGTTTTCCTAGTTCCTGTTTCCTTCCCGTGTTTCCTTGTTTTGCCTTGCCTTGTCGGTTTCCTCGGTGCTGATCTTTGCCTGTCTCCCTGGATTTATCCCTCTAGTCTCGCCCCTGTGATTCTGTCTGCTGATCGTCGACCTACGCTAGCCCTAGGACTATTCTTGTGTTTTGCCCGCCAGATACCTGTTTGCCATTGTTTGACCCTGCCTGCTATGACCACGTCTCTGTCTTCTGTTCAGAATAAAGCTTGCACATGGATCCACACGTCTCACGTCTCTGTCACCCCGTTACAGACACAATGGTGAACTAATGTTTATGGACAAATATTGGCTGATTATCTGCATGGCCGGTAGTTTTTGGTGTATCACTGATACAGACCTCTACTATTTACATTTCTGAGCTACAGTAATTTCGCAGTAAATGCATAAGTTGTTATGTTGTTCGTTTTTGAGAAACAATATATCGGTACCATATCGGTTATTGACCGATATTAGAATTTATTAAATGTTTTTGTTTAAATTATTAACACTGTTTTATTTGAAAAATATTGGTTATTGGCCATAGCGTGAAAATAATTATCGGCTTACTGGTATCAGCCAGAATTTGATTATATTTACATCCTTTTTTTAAATGAATGGTCAACCGATATTGGCTTTCAGTGTCCGATACAATATCTAGAGAGTAGATTGGCTTCAGTATCTATATTCTGTATGATATAATACATTGTAATGATAGAAAACAAGTTGTAGCCTTAACAAAATTACATTATATTTAATGTATATATTAGTTTATCAGCCTGGCCGATATATCGGTATATCACTAATGCAGCCCTTTATACGTTTTTCAGCTAAAATAAGGTTTAAGCTAGGATAATATTTAATATTTTATATTATATTTTAGTTTAATATTCTGTACTTTTTGAGAAACATGGGTTACACTTTTTTTCGATAGTCCACTTTAGACATTCTACTAACTATAAGTAACTTTGTAACTACATGTCAACTACATGTCAACTAATTCTCATTAATTTGCAACTACATGTCTACTAGCTCTCAGAGTAGACTGTTAGGGTAGGTTTAGGGTTAGTAGAATGTTGACAAAGAAAGTGTTAGAAGATATTAAGCAGACAGTCTACTAATACTCTACTAACTGCTAGTTGACATGTAGTTGCAAAGTTACTTGCTGTTAATAGAATGTCTAAAGTGGACTATCGAAATAAAGTGTTACCGAAACATGCTTTCCAACCTATTATCACATGCTGTCACAAATCAACCGCCTGGTTAAACAACAACACTGCTGTTTACCCAACAAGCTATTTTGAACAAATTTCTCCTGAGGAAATATGTCTACTATTTACCCGAATAACGAAACAAATGACACAATTAGCATGTAAGCTGTGCTCGTTCCAGCTTTCTGTCTCTAGTGGACCATTTTAGTCCACAGTATAAGTACAAAAGGGTTCGGTTTCCAAGAGAACATGAGTTTTTTTCAGTAGATGATGCCTAAATGGGTTCTCAGTGTCAGCAGAGTCTAACCAGCGACTGGCTTGGCTTGTTCCATCCATTCATCTGGAGCTAATGAGCCCATGAATGGTGACAGATCAGTTGTTGTTTAGCAACAATGCTGACCTTGGCCAGTTCGTGGTCTACAGAAACCTGTCTTTATTACTGTCTAGCTCTTTTCCTCATTCTGTTTCTCTTCTTTGATCATATCTTGTAGGACATGTCACCTATGCGAAGGTGATGCGTGTCACAAAGCTTTTCTAGGTTGGATATCCGCTTCATTGCTTTGCCTTTGTGTGGTGATTTTTAATAGAATTTAAACTCCAAACTAATTGGAATCAGGTGGTTTTATTACGCTCTGGAACATTAGCTGGCAAAATGAATGTCATTGACTTAAGGAAGGTGTTTTGTGGTGTTGAAATGGAGTGTTTTGTATCTGGAATGCGAAAAAACAAATAACTTTTACTTCAATTTAATGCGTAAATGCTATTAATATACTTGGATTAACAAAAGTGTGATTTGCATGCTTTTCTGTAGAACACAAAAGATGTTTTGAAGAATATTCACGCTTCACTTTTCCATATTGTGACGCCATCAAGATTAAAAAAATGTCAAAAAAGCTAAATAAAAGTATCATAAAAGTTATTTTTGTGTGAGGAAAAAGCCGAAAAATTATTTGATTAATATCTAATTTTTGTTTTCACAAATTCAGACTTGATTTGCAAGTTCATCAAATTTAAAATTGGAATAAAAATGAATAAATAATGACAAAACTGTAATTTTGGGGCAAAATATTTCTTTAAAGAATAATAAATTAATTGGAAAAGGCTGAAAAGTTGTTCTTTGCTAAATATCTCATTTCAGGGTTTCTGTGGGTCTTAAAATGGTCTTTAAACGTATTCACCCTTCCACAAATTAAGCCCTAAAAGGTTTTCAGCTCTGATCAATCAGAGCTAAAAGACTTCAATTCATAAAGTCATGGCATTAAATGTTGTATACACTGCAAAAAAAATTTAAAAACCAAAACTATTTTCAAATGTTGATGCATTGTTAATACAAGACATTTACTTTTAGAGACCATATTGACATATTGTGTTCAATTCAATTTATTTATAACATTTTCTTTACTTCTTTACTAAAAAGGTCTTAAACATTCAAAATGTACCTTCATAAACCCTCCAGAAACCCTGTCATTTGTATTTTCACATATTTAAACTTATATTGCAAGTTCGTCAAACCTGGCACAACAAATTTTGGCACACAGAATTTCAATATCGGGTGAATAAATGATGACAGATATGTAATTTCAGAGTGAACTATTCCTTTAAAGAATAAATACTTTTCACAAAGCATGTAACCAATATAAATGTACACGTTCTTCCACAGATGTTTAGCACTGCATGGATGACTTACGTTTGAATCTTTGTTGACTAAAATAAACAGATGTGCGTTGCAATATTTTTAAGAACAGATCATTGAAAAAATTGTTGCTGTCATATATTCATCTACATACTGTTCCAAATCTGTGTGACTTTCTTTTTTCTGTAGAACACAAAAGATGTTTTGAAGAATATTCACGCTTCACTTTTCCATATTGTGACGCCATCAAGATTAAAAAAATTTCAAAAAAGCTAAATAAAAGTATCATAAAAGTTATTTTTGTGTGAGGAAAAAGCCGAAAAATTATTTGATTAATATCTAATTTTTGTTTTCACATATTCAGACTTGATTTGCAAGTTCCTCAAATTTAAAATTGGAATAAAAATGAATAAATAATGACAAAACTGTAATTTTGGGGCAAAATATTTCTTTAAAGAATAATAAATTAATTGGAAAAGGCGGAAAAGTTGTTCTTTGCTAAATATCTCATTTCAGGGTTTCTGTGGGTCTTAAAATGGTCTTTAAACGTATTCACCCTTCCACAAATTAAGCCCTAAAAGGTTTTCAGCTCTGATCAATCAGAGCTAAAAGACTTCAATTCATAAAGTCATGGCATTAAATGTTGTATACACTGCAAAAAAAATTTTAAAACCAAAACTATTTTCAAATGTTGATGCATTGTTAATACAAGACATTTACTTTTAGAGACCATATTGACATATTGTGTTCAATTCAATTTATTTATAAAATTTTCTTTACTTCTTTACTAAAAAGGTCTTAAACATTCAAAATGTACCTTCATAAACCCTCCAGAAACCCTGTCATTTGTATTTTCACATATTTAAACTTATATTGCAAGTTCGTCAAACCTGGCACAACAAATTTTGGCACACAGAATTTCAATATCGGGTGAATAAATGATGACAGATATGTAATTTTAGAGTGAACTATTCCTTTAAAGAATAAATACTTTTCACAAAGCATGTAACCAATATAAATGTACACGTTCTTCCACAGATGTTTAGCACTGCATGGATGACTTATGTTTGAATCTTTGTTGACTAAATCGTATTTGATTTTTTAAATGTTTGTTTGCTGCAGAACTTGAATCAGAATCTTCGCACCTTATTGCCCAAGTTCTTCGGGCTGTACTGCATACAATCGGGCGGGAAGAACATTCGGATGGTGGTCATGAACAACGTTTTGCCCAGGGTGGTGCGCATGCACCTCAAATACGACCTGAAGGGATCCACCTACAAGCGACGGGCCTCTAAAAAAGAGCGGGAAAAGGCGAGGCCCACTTTCAAAGACCTTGATTTCATGCAGGACATACCAGACGGTCTCATGCTGGATACAGACACATACAATGCCCTGGTCAAGACGTTACAGAGAGACTGTTTGGTAAGTTCTCCACAGTGTGCTGCTGTCTAGAGTGGACATGCCATTCAGAACGAAAATTGATGTGTTTTTGTTGTTTAGGTCTTGGAAAGCTTTAAGATTATGGATTATAGTTTGCTGCTGGGAGTTCACAACATCGATCAGGCGGAGAAAGAGCAGCAGATGGAGGGATCTCAGGGCAACAGTGATGAAAAGAGGCCGCTGGCACAGAAAGCACTCTACTCCACTGCCATGGAGTCCATACAGGGAGCGTCGGCCTGTGGAGAGGAGATTGACACCGAGGACACGTGAGTGGCCGAAATTAGTCCACGTTTTGACACATATAAAGGATATTTAAACAGATATGTGACACATTTTCAGATGCATCAAAAAAATATGATAAAGTAACGGATGCAGTGACAAAATTTTGGCCGATATGATAAAGCTTAGTAATTTTTCTTCATGGTATTACTAATGACCGATTCATGGAATTCTATACTATTTTGATACTTTTTTTCTTTCTTTTATAAAATCTGAATTTGTGTTTGTAATTTTTATAAAACCTGGATAAAATTGAAGTCCTGTCCAGTTAGATATCCTGTTTCATCTGGAAATGAATGCTGTGGAAGCTAAAGGATTGCAAACAACAAATTCATGTTGACTAACCAAAAACAAAAAAACTTTTTTAGAAGTGAAAAGAAACGTTTTTTATTTTTGCTTTGTTTTGTGTTTTTATTTTCTTAACTTTTTTATTTGATTTGATTCTATTTAGACTTTATCAGTCATTTTTTTCTCTGAAATGATTTTTTAAGATTTAGCTAACTTTGGGAAACAAAATTAACATGCTTTTCAGCATGTTTCTGTTTTTATTGAGTAAATAAAACGTGTTTTTTCCCTTGAAATTGTGTTTGTAATCTTTATAGTGTCCTGTTAGAGATTCTGGTTCATCTGGAAATGTGTCACATTATAGAAGTAAAAACCTGCAAACAACAAATTCATGTTGGCTAAACACAAAAAAAATTTTTTAGAGGTGAACAAAGACATTTTTGTTTTCTTTTGTGTTTCTTTTTCTGTTTTCTGTTTGTTTTGATCTTATTTTTATTTTATTTTGTTTGATTTTATTTAATATTTATATAAATACAGATTTTTAGAAGTGAACAGACTTATTTGTTGTGTTTGTTTTTTTTGTTTTGTTTTCTTTTTCTTTCTTTTATCTTTTTTTTGTTTAGTTTTTTCCCATTTCATGTTTATTAGCAATTTTTCTTCTTAAAGGACTTTTTTTTTTTTAAAGATTTAGCCAACTTTGCTAAACACTTTTCAGCACTGTTACAATTTTGTTCCCAGAGGTATAGCTACATGTTTAATTTCAGTATTTAGCTAGGTTTATACTTTTTATTTATTATTATTATTATTATTATTATTTTTAAAGCTTTCATAGTTATTTATTTGCTTATATTTTTTGCCTGTTAGGATGGGTGGTATTCCTGCAGTCAATGGAAAAGGAGAGCGTCTGTTACTCTACATTGGAATAATCGACATCTTGCAGTCTTACAGGTGGTTGCGTCAATCTCTCAGACTCATGTCACTTACTATTTACATCATGAAGTGTGTGATTCATTGCTGCCAGTATGATTTGGAAGCACCATGGAATGACTTTTTTTGTTTTCTGTTAGGTTAATAAAGAAATTGGAGCATACGTGGAAGGCTCTAGTCCATGATGGGGTAAGAAATACATTGCATTTCATTGGCTATCATCTAGAATAGACCTTTGAAATACATCAACACCGTTGTCCCTTGCAAGGTGCTCCATTTCATCACTTTGGATGAAAAGCTTTGGCCAAGTCAACATTCAGCTGTGTTTTCAGACTCTGTGGTCTTCGACCTCCACTATAATTCCTCCTACTTCCTTCATTTTCATATTAATAAAGCATGATCTGCCACGGCACATTAGCATGAATGGGGTTTAGTGACAATTATGGGGTTTTGGAGGAAATGCTTGTGAAATGCACTAATTTGGGGCCGTTTTTTCTCAGAGTTTGTGCTAATTGTGCTATTGCTGGATATGAAGCGTACATGCATGTACCACACACACACTCATTTTTCTCTCGGCTCAGCAGTGAATAATGGAGATTTCTCCAACCCTGCCTGTGACGCATCAGCCTACGCCATACTGCGAATGGCTCACAGTTCATTTGCATGCTAATTAGGTGTTATTTATAGACCTAGAGCTGGTGTATCTTGATCACGTCAGCTGGAGGTGACAGATATATATTACCTAAAGGTTGACTGGTTGTCTCCAGGAATAATGTATGTTAAACTGAAAAATGTCATGAGAAATTAGTAAATATGAATGTAGTTTGTACTTTGGCTCTCCAGTCAAGCGTATGTTGACAGTATATTGTAAATGAATGCATGTTTTTGTATGATTAACATGCGTAATGTAAACAAATGTGACAGGTCCAATGCTATTTAAGCTCTATCACAGAAGTTTTAGCACAGATTACCACAGAATCATTTTCATTTAAGAATCAGAATTTGATTTAAAGCCTGCATGGATATTATTAGTATTGAACAAACTGTAATTTGTGATTTTCTCAACGGGAATAAGTCAGAATGTACTGTAACTTTTCAGATTGATTCTGATGGTTCACTTATTCTGTCTCACTTTCACTCTTCAGGACACAGTGTCTGTTCACAGACCGTCTTTCTATGCGGACAGGTTCTTCAGGTTCATGAGCACTACTGTATTCAGAAAGACTTCCTGTGAGTGAACTGATTCTGAGTTGAACTTACATTGCTCAATTTCATAGATTAATTTCATATTCTGCATGAAATATTATTGATAAAGTAATAGCGATGCACCGATATTGAAGTTCTGCCTGATACCGATAAATATTTATTTTACAAACCAATAGCCGATAAATGGCTCTTGATAAAATTTTACAGTATTTGGTCCAAATAAATTAAAAATAAAATGCTTAACTAAAATTAATGATATTAAATGCTACAAATTAATTTAGGCATCACAGACAAACCAATAGCCGATAAATGGCTCTTGATAAAATTTTACAGTATTTGGTCCAAATAAATTAAAAATAAAATGCTTAACACTAAAATTAATGATATTAAATGCTACAAATGAATTTAGGCATCACAACATTTTAATGTACAGTAGGAAAATGGATATTCATCAATGGATATTCAATCGATAGTTATGCTGTACGATTTGCTAAAGATTACATTTAACAGTGTTAGTAAATTATATTATGAAATACTAAAATTTCTATGACTAAAAAATAATGAAAGCTATATAGAAATATAAAAAAGCACTATAGAAATATTTTTTTTAAACTAAATAACAAAAGCACAACAAAATTACCTAAACTTAATTTAAAACTGAAAATATAAAAAATTAAATCTAATTCAAAATCTTAACGAATATTATAATAGTATAGAAATAATACTAAAATAGCACTGCATACAACAAAAGCATGAAGTGAACATGAGCTGTCAAACAGACAAAATCATTAGTGCTTTAAAGATTAACTTTAAGTGAGCATTAGATAATGGAAAAGGTAATCCAAATAAAAAAAAAAAAAAAGATGAAATGAGCATGTACAAGTAAATATCTGGTATTGATCAATTTTATAAATCTGTAATATCGGCCGATAACTGATAAAATTTTGATATATTGTGCAACAATAACATCTAAAATTTAAATGCCACTTATCATGTCACCAAATAAAAAGACAAGTTAGTTATTATCTAGTGGCTATCATACTACAGTTGATATTTATTTTTAGAGAAAAATTAAAGCCACAGTGTTTACAAGTTTTCAGGAAGATCCTAACCTTAACCCTGCTAATGAAATAAATTAAATACTTAATTTGTGCTTATGATATTGAACCTGTTTTAAAATTGAAGTACATTTGTAAACCTGTTTCTTTCAGCACTGAAATCCTCTCCGTCAAAGAGGGGTCGTGGGGGTCTGGCTGCGGCCAAGTACAGCGGTCCCGGAGCAGCCTGGTCGGCCAGCCAGTTGCCATTTGTTAGAGATGATAACATCTATGACCTGAGAGGAACCCGAAGCTTCCCCACACTGGAAGATGATGGTAAACAATAGACAAAGTACATTCTTTGTTCTCAACCATGTGGACTTCATGACTTTAGGCACATTTTTAAATTCGACCCGGTTTTAGGTCGGACGGATGTGCTTCCCTGCACCCCTCCCTCGTTCGAGGAGGCCACTACAGCCTCCATCGCCACCACGCTTTCCTCCACCACCTCCCTGTCCATACCAGAACGCTCCCCATCAGACACCTCCGAACACCTGCGCTACAGGTAACACCCGGTCTGTCCATCTGTAATATTTCAGCGTCTCGGCCATAGCAGGTACAATAAACTCTCTGTTCTCTTTCGTACAGGAGACACACCCAGTCCAGCCATGAAGAAACGTAAGTCAACAGAGACTAGTCTGCTATCCTAGTTTCTATCCTGTAGTCTGCTTCTAAGACTTCTGAAGCCGTATGGTAGTTTTGTGACTGAAATGACCAAGTTTGTTTCCTTAGCAGACTTTACAATGTTTATTCCTCTCTTGGACTTAATGGAAGAAGAACGATTCGTTCCTTAGTGATGTTGTTCATGTGGTTTGGTTGAGCTTTCTGCTGATGTTGTTGTAGAATGCAGGATGAGGACCAGCAGACCATCACAGTGGAGGTGGAAGTGGAGGGACGATATGACAGCGAACCCAACCTCGTGGCTCCCCAGGTATCGCCGGAGATCAGGTACGCACTCAAAACTGAGAATCTGCTTGCAGATAATATTTAATATTTACTTATGAAAGCCAGATATTGTTGGATATGTTGAAAAGATGGTCTCGAAGTGTAATGAAATTAAGGGCGAGTCAAAAAAAAGATGATTTAAATGCAAATGCATTGTCGCTGAATCAAGAGCAGTGGGAATGAGGAATTAGAAAGGTGCTCCATTAAGCTGAGCTCACCTGCTGAAGCTCCTTATAGTGATGGGAAAACGACACTATGGCAACTGCCACAGAGGAACATAACCAAACAGGAAGCACCTAATCACACTGGCAATAAGTACCCAAATGTTTTTGTGTTAGTCAGGACCAGTGGCAGTATGCCCCAAAATATGATTTCTATAATAAATAGTAATATAACATGAAAGTATAGTTAAATGTATTTATTCCTTCTTTATTTAAATAATATTTATTTATTATGTAATTAAAATATTTATTATTTATTCTTCCTCATTTTACTGCAAATCAATGTGACTTTTGAAGCTTTGAAGATATTTTGAAGAAAGTTCATGCTGCACACTTCCATACAAAGAGAGTACCACTAAATACAATTAAAACTAGTAAAAATTACAGTTTTTGTAAATTGATTGAGCTAAAATAAATAAAATAAAATGTATATATTAGATGAAAAGCTTAAACTTAAAAAACATAAAAATGAGAAACGGAAATAAATAAATTAAAGTACTAAAATTACAAAAAAAACTAAAACTGAAATAAAAATAAATTAACCCCTTAACTGTCACCGTCCCACCTGTGGGAAACTTGGCGCTCTTTTTTGTTGTCCTTTTACTCTGTCAAATCTTTTAGTAATCATCATAAATTATGTATCACTTGAAAGCTTAGAAGCCCAAGATTCATCCTGTGAAAACCATTTTGAAATTGGACATTGCGTTACCATGGAAATGGTACTTTAAAATCTTTTGGCAGTCTCCTCCCCCTTAGTGGGCAGTGTCTGGTGTCATATTACAAAATGCATTACGGTCTTTTAGAATCAAACCTTTTTTATAATCTTGACAAAAAACATATCATTGGAAAGGTCTGAGTCTCAGGATTACATATATTTTGAGATATATAATATTGACAGAGAAATCTAGACATTTGTGACAGAAAAATGCATAAAAATAATTAAATGGAGTTTTGACACCCGGTGGCTGTTTGTGATATAACGCCCTAAATAAAATCTCACAGGAACCTCAATTTTTTTCATATCAATTTCAAATTTGGAACATAACTTATTTAGACATAAGGCTTTAATTTTATACCAATTTTAGAGTAAAACCTGTTATGTAAAATATTGATTATATATCAAATCAAATAAATTTTTTTATTTAGAATACATTTAAACTTCTATAAATTTTTGATACTTTAATTTTTTGAATAAATTCCACTTTTGCAATAATCTGCTTTGGCCTGTATTCCAAAGTGTTCATAAATTACAACAATTTAAGTTTGGATGGTGCACTTTCCTGCCTATTTAAAAAAAATGGGGGGGTGACAGTTAAGGGTTTTTTAAAGCTGTATTGAAAAAATAATAATAAAAATGACAAAGGCACATAACAAATTTACTAAAATGTAAGCAAAATTTAAAATGACAACTGAAAATATAAAAATATAAGTTAATTCAAAATATTCATGAATATAATAAATGTCTATAAATAATAATAAAATAGCACTGCATACAACAAAAGTATATAGTGACCATGGGCTGTCAAAAAGTGCCAGAAAAGTGGTCCATAAAATCTAGACTCTATATTCCAACTTTTCTGAAGCCATCCAATAGTTTTGTGAGAAGAACAGAGTGACGTTTGATGATTTATTCCCTGAAAATCTCTCTATATTTTTTGTATTTTTCTCCTCCACATGTTTAGTGAGGCTGCAGAGACGTTTCTAGAAGCCTCATCCTCCTCCGTCCCGGCGAGCCCCAGGATAGTGGTAGAATCTGACGGCGGCAGTCAGGCCTCGGGCTGTACAAGCCGTGCCTCTGTGGACGAGGATGATGATGTGCCAATTACAGACATTTATTTTGTAAGCCCTCCACTCCTCTGAACTAAATATATGTTGTTTTTAATAATTTTGTGTGGCTTTTATATAGAAAAATGTATCAGAGAAGAGTAAGAACCACCAAAGGTCAAAACATAAAAGAACATAATCAGATGTGTCTGCACTGCAAAAAAAAATGTATCAGTATTTTTTTTGTCGTACTTTCCAATAAAATTAAGTAAAATATTTTTTGTATTTTTCTCCTCCACATGTTTAGTGAGGCTGCAGAGACGTTTCTAGAAGCCTCATCCTCCTCCGTCCCGGCGAGCCCCAGGATAGTGGTAGAATCTGACGGCGGCAGTCAGGCCTCGGGCTGTACAAGCCGTGCCTCTGTGGACGAGGATGATGATGTGCCAATTACAGACATTTATTTTGTAAGCCCTCCACTCCTCTGAACTAAATATATGTTGTTTTTAATAATTTTGTGTGGCTTTTATATAGAAAAATGCATCAGAGAAGAGTAAGAACCACCAAAGGTCAAAACATAAAAGAACATAATCAGATGTGTCTGCACTGCAAAAAAAAATGTATCAGTATTTTTTTGTCGTACTTTCCAATAAAATTAAGTAAGGGCTGCAATATAACAAAGAGTGAAAAATTTAAGGGGGTCTGAATACTTTCCGTACCCACTGTATATATAAATTTCAACAAAAAAAATCCAATGCTGTAACTTTAAAATTCATGGTATATTCTATGATTTATTCTGAATTAAATGTATCTTGATTAAAGGATGTTTACATATTTTTACTTGGTCATGTTTCTCCAAAAAAATCAAAAGAAAAAATAAGGAACTGTATATTGCATAAAGAAAAATGAAGCCTATTTTAGAACCAGAAGCATTTTTGCATTTTGCATTTTTATGAAAAAATTAAAGAATATTTTCCACTAAATTCGCATTGACATTCTTATTACTGTCATGCAAAAAGCAACAAGAATATATTACTTAAATTGTAAAGTATGTATACGTCATGTTAGTATTTGCTATATTTGCTATTACTTTTTTCTTTTTTACTTAATTACAGTTACAAGCATCTCAAAATTTCAGAAATGTAAGGCTTTCATACTTAACTGTCATGAAAATAATGTCACAGCGGTAATAAAAATAGGACTTTTAGATTTTATTCATGTAAGATCGAATTCAATTTTTGGGTGAATTTAACCATGACATGTTTTTGCTAGACTGTGAGATTCATCCAGTAGTAAACAGTGCTAATGTGACCATTGTTGGATTACTGGTAACTAAAGGAAACGTCTCCAACACTAGATGTGTTTGGTCTCTGTTGGCACGTGGGTGGGTGTTTGTGTGCCGAGGTGTTAGGAGCTCCGCTGGTCTTTATTTGTATCTTCTGCATGACAGTATAAGACCCATTGAAATGAAGTTCCAGTCCTTTTGTTTATTTCTAAATGCTGAGGATCATTGTGTGTTCATTTTGAATGACACCAGTACAATATACACATTCTGTCCCATGAATGACAAAACACATGGACGTGCCAATGCATCTACAGGGATGTCTCCGAGGACAGCCAAGAAAAACGGAGAAATAGCCATCATTATCATTTGTTTGACACATTGAGGCTCTTAAAATCGGTCGTGTGCTGAAAAGGGGCCTAGAGATGCACAAGCGCCACCTCTTGAATTATTCATCCATTAACACCCTGCACCTTCGCTCTTTCCTCTTATTAATGGAGCTGTCAATTTTTTCATTTATCGACTGCTAAACAGCACTTCATCTCCTTGACTTTTTCATTACCATTCTGCCATCTTTCATTATTTGTCTTCCATCTCTGTTTGTCCATGTCTCTTGTAAGTTCTCTGATGGCAGCGTCTGTGTTTGTCAGCCCGTCACACACAGAAGGCGGCACACTGTAAGTTTTATAACTGAAACACTTGAAACTAGTTTTAGAGGTAGTTAATCAGAACAAGTTAGCCTCTGAGGTCAGCTGTATATCTAGACTATTGTAGCTGTTTTGTAACCTTTGACTGTTAGAATTAAACAGGCTGTTGCTGTTACTGTACCTTTAAGACTTATGTATGCAAATGAGCCCACCATAACAAGTGTGAAATTGTTCTGAAAACTTGAGCTAAATAATTGCAGCTGCTCAGTATATACAGCCGTATAAGTCACAGCTTCAGATTACAGTAAGCTGTTTCAACATTGTGAAAATGACAGGGTTGTTAAACTAAAATCATTAAAAAAAATTACTTTAAATAAAATAATTAAGTGAAATATAATAAAACGAAACTTCATTTCAGCTAGTTTCCAAGGCAACATTTCTCGTTTTCATTTAGTTCAACTTGTAGTTGTAGTAGGATAACTAAAATCAAAATACAATTTTATTAAAACTGTATCGAGATATATATATATATATATATATATATATATATATATAGAAATGAATAAAAATGTCAAAAATGCACAATAAACGTTTTTAA